GAATAAAATCTAATCCATATTTAACAAAACAGTATCTGGTATCAGATTCCTACCAGATGAAGCTTCTAAAAATGCCTAGAAATATGAAATAGTGGAAAGCAGAATCAATACCACTAAAATTCAAATAATAGGGCACAATTTATTCATGATAAAATGAGAATGAAAACATAGGGAGTTCATCTCCTTGGAAAATGACAATGATCGATTTTACCTCACCAAATAAGCCTGTTTTAAATAGAGAACTTAGCTTATCTTGCTAGTTAACGTAACTAATGTTGACTGTACCGGTGTTCTATCGAGTTGAGCTACTTTGTCGAGGTAAGCTATGGTTAGGGCTATCGATTAGCACTACCGTAGCTTACCTCAACAAAGTAGCTCAACTCGACAGAACACCTGCCTCAGAAGGACAATGGTAAGTAATTCAACTTATAAAGACGTCAGTTTGCATTAGTAGATGACACCCTGCACGCATGAGTAAAGGTAAGAGAATGAATTCTGTCTAAACTGTAGGAGCCCCTACACAGGCCCCCCCAGAATTCACAAACACAGACAAGTCCAACTTGCGGGGAGGTCGGGCCACCCGACCGGAACGAGTCACAATAGGCTGGGAGGCTGGGTGCCCAGCCGTCGCCGGAGCCGTCCCCCGCACACGCACAGCAGCAGGTCCAGCTTGCCCCTAATGTCCAGTGTGAAAAACTTTTCCCCAGATTGTAGGACACGGAAGGGCTCATCATAAGGCGGCCGCAGTGGGCCCCGATGAGCATCATGGCGGACAAAGACATATGTGGCCCCGGCCAAACCCTCCGGAACATGTGTCTGGGGCACCCCATGTTGAGTCGTGGGTACTGGAACGAAAGCCCCAGCCAAGTCCCGCAGAGCGGAGCGCTGGTGTTCAGCACACCAAGGGGCTGTAGTGGTGGGCAGGAAATCCCCTGGCACACGCAGAGTCTGCCCGTAGACTAACTCGGCCGACGAGGATTGCAGGTCTGACTTGAGAGCGGTCCGGAGGCCCAACAAAACCCAGGGGAGCCTGTCCACCGAGCCACCGTCCCTGAGGCTGGCCCGAAGAGCGGCTTTCAGGGAGCGGTGAAAACGCTCGCACAGCCCATTGGCCTGCGGATGGTAGGCTGTGGTACGATGGAGGGAAACCCCCAAAACCTGGGCCACTGCAGCCCAGAGCTCAGAGGTGAACTGGGCTCCACGGTCCGAAGACACATCAGATGGAACCCCGAAACGGGACACCCAACCACCGATGAAAGCCCTGGCCACGTCTGCTGTGGTGGTGGATGACAAAGGTATGGCCTCTGGCCACCGAGTAGACCTGTACTCCACCGTTAGCAAGTGAGTAAAGCCCATGGAAAGGGAAAGAGGCCCGACCAGGTCCATATGAACGTGGTCAAAACGGCGCTCAGGCACCACAAATGGCGCCAGTGGTGCCTTGGTATGTTGGTGCACCTCAGCACGCTGACACGGAACACAGGAGGCGGCCCAACTACGGACATCCTTCCGCAGCCCATGCCAGACAAACTTGGCGGCCAGCAGACGCTGAGACGCTCGTCTTCCTGGGTGTGAAAGCCTGTGCACCACCTCGAAAATGTGACTAGGCCTATCGATGTCATGATAGGCCTAGCCAGACCGGTTGAGATATCACACAGGAGGGTGGCACCACAGTCAAGGAAGGGAACATCAGCCAGCTGCAGACTGGTGACTGCGGTCCTATATGCCTGCACCTCTGGATCGACCCGCTGATCCACTGCTAATAGAGCATAATCCACTCTTAAGTGCACAGCACTTGCCACCGAGCGGGAGAGGCAGTCCGCAACATGGTTATGCTTCCCTGCCACATGCCGGATGTCAGTAGTGAACTCCTATATGAAGGAGAGCTGCTGCTGCTGACGAGCTGACCAAGGCTCCGATGTCTTAGCCATCGCAAACGTCAGGGGCTTGTGGTCAACAAAAACCGTGATTGGGCGGCCCTCTATGAGGAACCGGAAGTGACGCACAGCCAAGTACAGGCCAAGAAGTTCGCGGTCAAATGTGCTGTACTTCCACTCGTGCGGCCTGAGCCGTCGGCTGAAAAAGGCCAGCGGCTGCTAGGCACCATTCACGAACTGTTCATGCACGGCCCCCACAGCATAGTCCGAGGCATCAGTGGTGAGCACAACTGGAGCACCAGACAATGGGTGGGCCAGCATGGTCGCGTTCACCAGAGCAGACTTGGTAGCTACAAAAGCCTGGGTCTGCTCAGCAGTCCACTCAAGAACCTGCTTGGCCGTCCTACCCCTGAGAGCCTCATACAGCAGCCGCATCAGCTGGACGGCCCGTGGAATAAATCGATGGTAAAAAGTAACCATGCCCAAGAACTCCTGAAGGGCCCTGGCTGTAGCAGGTTGTGTAAACGCAGAGATGGCCTCCACTTTGGCAGGCAGAGGAACTGCCCCATGGCCCGTGATGCGGTGGCCAAGAAAATCAATGGAGGACAAACCAAACTGACACTTTTGTGGGTTGATAATTAACCCATGATTACGCAGACGCTCAAAAAGAGTCCGAAGGTGAGCTATATGGTCAGCCCTGGAGTTGCTGGCTACCAAAATGTCATCCAAATACACAAATAGGAAAGGAAGGTCCTTCAGGACACTGTCCATGAGCCGCTGGAAAGACTGGGCAGCGTTTTTAAGCCCAAAAGGCATCCGAAGAAACTCAAAGAGTCCAAATGGGGTGATGACCGCAGTCTTTGCAATGTCTCCTGAATGTACTGGGACCTGGTGGTAGCCATGCACCAGGTCAACCTTTGAAAAAATGGATGCCCCCGTCAACCGGGAAGAAAAGTCCTGGATGTGTGGGATCGGGTAGCGATCCGGGGTTGTGGCATCATTAAGCCGGGCGCCAACCCCCACCAGGCCCCTGATCTTGTAAATACAATAACTCAAAAAGTATTTTTTAATTGTAGGTGCATTGATGTCTCTGGGATGTATATGTCCTGTGATGGAATAGCATCTTTCATTCTGGTTCACCATAACCCTACATTGGATAAGTTGGTATAGAAAATGCATGGATCTTTTTTTAGTTTTTAGTTGTAGATCTCTCATCTGCATCTGTGAAATCATGTTTTGATTAAGGTTTGTACAAAAATTATATGCACTTTTTAATAACAAAAAATAAAGCTTTTGTTGTATGAAGAAATTCAAGTGTTTTTGATTCATAAATGTATACTTATTACTGCATGTACTATTTGCCTCATTTGCACACAGGTTTGTACAAAAAACAACTGCAAAATAAATAGATATAAATGTGAGTTTTAAATTGTTTTATTTTTTCTCTACAGGTGAAAAAAAATCAGAATCAGGTTTCTTGGCTATTGCAGAAGGTCCCACGTAATATATCCGGCCATCAGGGATACAGCACTTTCCAGCAGTTCCTGGACAACCAACAGTACACACAGCGTGGCATCTTGAGATATGAGATGATCTTTGGATCTGGATATGTCAGCACAGGAGGGCTGAGCACCACCAAGGTAGCCCCGGGAATGCAAACTTTAAAAAATGTATCATTCCATCTCCTCAGTTGCAATTGATAAATCTTCCTTGATTTGGCCAACCCTTATATAGACCGAAGAGTAATAAGTGCTAATCATTTAATAAAAAAGAATATACGGTTTTTGTGTTTTAATGCAAACATCATTATGCTGTCTTTACACCTAATTATCATTAACCTCAAAGGAATTTGTTGACCTCCTGAATTTATCATCTGGCCAAAAAGTTCTTGATGTAGGATGCGGAATAGGGGGTGGGGATTTCTACATGGCAAAGGTAAGAGCCACTATTATTAATGTCATTTGTGTTTTGGTAGCATCCTTGTTAAGCATTTATGTAATTCATTTTTTTCTGGTACTTTACAGACATTTGGTGTGGAAGTTCTTGGCATGGATTTGTCATCAAATATGATAGAAATTGCAATGGAGAGAGCCATTAAGGAGAATGTACCCTTGGTCAGTGAACTCTCATGTGCCCATTGAGGTTTTTCACTATAATGAGGATTATACAATGTCCCATGATATAAAAGACACTCAAATCCATCCATCCATCCATCTATCCATCTATTCCATCCATCCATCCACAGTCTACATGTGCTTTGTGAACTTGGAAAAGGCATATGGTCAGTGTTTGGTTTACATTTTCAGCAGTATGTCAGACTCGTTTCCGGTAGCTATTGGGCTTCGCTATGGCAGCGGTTTGTCATGGGTTGTTCCGTGGACATGGACCATAGTAGCAGAAGGATGCTTCGACATGGGTTTTTGTTCAGACTTTGGGGAAAATTAAAAGACCACTACCTGAAGATCGAGGAGGATAAATAAGTAAATAAACAAATAAATAGATAAGTAAAAAATAAAGGAACAGACACAACAATAAAAACAGGAAATTACAATAAAAACAGGAACTAAGGAAATGCTACCATGGATCTCAGAAGTTTGCATGAAGTGCCAGAGGCAGGTTAAAGTATAGTGAGTAAAATTATGAATGATGAGCTAATAAAAAGTAAAAGATAAAGTTATAATAGATAAATAAATATGAATATAAATAAAGGAGGAGAAAAAGTACAATAGAACTCAAGGAAAAAACATATTAAAATGGTGTGTCTTAAGTCTGCTTTTAAAAATATGAACATCCTCTGATGCCCTCAGATCTTCAGGATGGCTGTTCCGTGGACATGGACCATAGTAGCAGAAGGATGCTTTGCCATGGGTTTTTGTTCAGACTTTGGGGATAATTAAAAGACCACTACCTGAAGATCGAGGACTTCTAGAGGGCTCATAGCATAAAAGCAAATCTGATAAATTTGTAGGTCAAAGCTTTGTAAACTAATGAAAGAATCTTGAAATCAATTCTGAGTTTTGAAGTAATTGCAGTTGACATATATTCTTCATAGGGGGACCAGAAAATAATAATAATAATAATACATCTTATTTATAACGCACTTTTCATTAACAAAATCTCAAAGTGCCACATTAAAAACAACAAAGTTAAAAACATCCATAAAATCTAAAAATATCACAACTACTAAATATGTTATCTATGCTGTACAGCATTACAGTAGTCAATCCTGCAAGTAATGTACTAGTGTCTCTGTGTTGGCTTGTGAAAGAAACTGACTATGGCAATGTTCTTAAGATGATAGAATGCACTCTTAGTTATATGAGGCACAAAACTGAGATCTGAATCAAAGGTCACTAACTGGTTTTTCTTGTTTGCAAGTGTTAAATGTGGGTGGTTGTAGTTTCGCATAGAGTTTGTCTCTCTGAGCTTCAGTACCAAGATCTCTGTTTTGTCCTGATTGAGCTGTAGAAAGTAATTGGCCATCCATGACTTGATATCTAAAATGCAGTTAAAAAGGGCACCTATAGGCCCTGAGTCATCAGGGGACACAGCGTTGTAAAATTGTGTGTCTTCAGCATAACTATGAAAAATTATATATTAAAAAGTGTGGGATCTAAAATTGATCCTTAAGGACCACCACAGTTCATTTTATAATTTTTAGATGTTCCATGCTTATAAACAATGCACTATCAGTAAAATATTATTTGAACCAATAAAAACAGTACCAGAGAGGCCAATCATATTGTTAAGTCTATCTAAAAGAATTGAATGATGTACAGTATCAAAGGCTGCAATGAAGTTAAATGGTACTAGCACTGAGGGTATTCTAGTATCTATATTGGACCTGAGATCATTTACAATCTTGATTAGTGCTGTCTTGGTACTATGGTCAGTTCGAAAACCAGATTGTTTTTTTTTTCAGAAATATTGTAAGATTTAATCATTTAACTGGGTGACAAACTCCAGTCCTGGAGGGCCTGAGCCCTGCACAGTTTTTGGTTTACCCTCATTTAACACACCCGATTCAACTCCTTGTGCTAATTACCACAGAGCTCATAAGCTAAATCATTTGTGGTGGAACAGGGTAAGAGCTAAACTACACAGGGCTCCTGCCCTCCAGGATTGGAGTTTGAGACCCCTGATTTAACTGAATAAAAACAAGCTTCTCTAAAATTTTACCTAAAGACGGCTGATTGAATACTGGCCTGTAGTTATAAAGACATGTGGCATCTAAATTTTTCTCTTCAGAAGGGTTTTAACCATGGCAGTTTTATAGGCATTAGGAAAGACACCCATCTGAAGAGAATAATTAACAACAGTAAGTAAATCTTAGGTAAAAAAACATAAAATGTCTGAATAGGATCTAAAGAGTAAGTTGCCGATTTCAATTGTGAGATGACTTTGCGAAGAATCTCAGTATCAACCGGGACAAATTTCTCCTCATGTGAAGACAGCTGTTCTGAGATCTTAAAGTTCATATGCTAACATGGTGCTAGAATCAACCTAATTGCATCTATTTTACTTCTGAAGTGGACTGCAAAATCTTTGCGTTTGGAGTTGGTAGACATACTGCTAGACTTTGTAAGAAAAGGATTAAACAAACTGTCAATGGCTGACGAGGATTTTAGGATCATTCCGGTGGTCGGTTATCAGTTTTGAGAAGTGAGGTTATCTGGCATGTTTAATTGCCTTTTTGTAAATATTCCGCTGTGGTAAATTTGATAATCAAAGTTGATAATAAGTTTACTCTTTTTCCATCTTCTTTCTGCTATTCATCATTTTCATCTTTCATCTATTTCATCTTTTCAACTGTTTAATTTCTTAATTTCTCCATGGTGGTGTTGGAATGACTCTAATCTTTTTTAAGTTTTAGTGGGGCAACCTTATCTTGGATTGACCTTAGTCTACTATTAAAACTATCCACAATAAAATCACAAGAGGAGGGTAAAATGTCTGCAGGAGTGACATTTAAAAAATCAAGAAAATTAACAGCCACTTCAGGAGTAAGATACTTAAATCACCTAAAATGATCATTCTGTCATAGTTGGTGTATTAGTACGAGGGGGGGATATAGGGCTTTCGAAGCAACAAACAGGCACGCTTTAGTTCGTTCAGAAATATTTTATTAAAAGTGATACAAAATTATTATATATCATAAGCTTTGATAAGTAATCCCTTTTATGAATAACATGCTGCAGGCTATTTGCACTCGGATGTGCCATCATCACCCACTAGTGCTGTAGTTCTCGAGACCGGTCTTGGTCTCGAGACCGGTCTTGAGACCAATTTTTTGTGGTCTCGGTCTTGTCTTGCTCTCGACTCTATTTGGTCTCGGTCTTGTCTTGGTCTCGGACATAGCGGTCTTGATGGGATGGGGAAAAAAAGAGAAAACAGCACATCCTCACAGAACACACAGAACAGTATCATTATTCATTACGCGCCTCAATTCAAATGCAACCAGTCAGATGCATCTACTTTAAAAACGTTACATTGTATATATTTTCTCAATGGACACAGTGCTTCACAGTCCACACACTTCATACACATCGCATGATAGCGAAGTCGGCAAAGAAATGTTCCAAAACGTCACCACGTGTCACCATGTCACATGGTACAAAATCCTCGCGAGAGCAAGACGACTTGAGACAGACCGCGCAGCACAAACTGGAACTGCCTCCGTGACGACACAACTTTGCCCTTATTGGCTGAAGAATTTAGTCACACGCATGATGTTTGTATCCCAGGAAAATCCAATGCCTTATCTGCTATTTCTCCCGAAAATCACATAAAGCAGTGTGAACTGGTTTCAGTTCATTTACTGGTAAAATAAAGTTTAAATAAATTACATAAATGCTCTAACAGTACACGTAAGTTAGTGGTTTATTTATTGTTAGTTACTGTAATGTTGTGCTGCTTTATTTGTTTAATCGTCAGACATACCCATCAGAAAGATACACCTATCAGACATACCCATCAGAAAGACATACCAATGAGACATGCCGATCAGAAAGACATTCCCATGAGACATGCCAATCAGAAAGACATACCTATCAGAAAGACATACCGATCGTCCAGTCTGTGAAGAATGCATGCAGGTGATATTTGTATAGATTTATCTACACCCTTCTGGAAGTGCTACCATTGCAGTCAGGTCTCACAGACTACGAGGAGTAGAAGTTGTCCGACTTGGCTGCAGTCAGTTTATACTCCACCCCTGCAGCCGCCGGCAGATCACGCTCCACATTGCGTCAGCTGCAGTCGAACGCACCCATTGCTTCTTTAAGGGAGGATGGGCAAAATTAAAATGTCATCGATGATTGGCTGTTGTGCTGGCGTTCAGTAAACCTCTTCTTGATAGGCCATCGAGTTGTCTGTCTCAGCGCATTCTCTAAAATGGAGCAAATTTGGTTGATCGAGTTTTATAGTCTGTGTGTATCATCGTGATCGTCCTTATTTTTTATCGATAAAAAATCGAGATAGTTTTTTCGCCCAGCACTAATAGCATAGTTATAATTCAATTAAATTAGGTATTTTACATTCATTAGAAAGCACGGTCTTGGAGGTGCAAGTCAATCTGGAGGCTCATTCTCTTCAATTCAAAGCAGAGGATCATTACATAGCCGTATTCATAGCTTACCCGACGCCTCTCTCCCTGGTATAAGAGACTTAATATGAACATCTTTCTGGTACATCCCATCTCTTTCCCTTGACGAGGTCCGATAAAATGGTTATAGGAGAGGATTGCTGAGAATATTATTTTCCATCAGGCCTCGTAACTATGACAAATCTGGGAGATTTTAAATGAGAGACATATGGACATATGAACAATATAATTGAAAAGATAACATGAATTTGATTTAACAAGTAATGACACTTTACAGCAATGCCTTTTTTCTCTACAGTTGATCTGAGTAATGTGATGTCGATTCTAGCCCTAGTCTGTTTTCGGTCTTGGTCTTGGTCTCGACCAGTCTTGGTCTTGGTCTCGCCTTAGTGTGTCTTGGTCTTGGACTTGGTCTTGGTACCCTCAAGTCTCGGCAATGTCTTGGTCTCGGTTTAGGCATTCTTGACTACAACACTATCACCCACCTTCGCTTTTAGACTGGGGAGCCCGTTTCAGTCCTGGCATCAACCAAGACGTGTTTCCTGAGAAGTGCCGGGTCGATGTGCGCTCGATGAGTTCTCCCCCTTCCATTATACGGTACCATTTTGCAACAAGGCTACCCATATAAAGAGTTTTATAGTCTGGTTATTAATTAGGTTGTAACACATTGTAAATTATTAATAGACTATTTTAAACAAGTCCATAACACAGTTTTCTTTTTATTAATGAGTTACTACCATTTACAAGTGGCAAAAGGGAGCCCTATTGTAAAGTGGTACCCTTTACACTAAATTCGACGCTAAGACGACTATGTGCGTGTGGGCAGGGAATGAGCTGGCCAGGCTCATCCCTCCCCTCAGGCAGTGCTCTCTTGGTCCTCTAATTCTCATGAGAAATAGGTCAAGTGTCCTAGGGCACATCTGAGTGAAGTGAGATTGCTTGCAGCTGTAAAACATATTGGGTAACACTTTCTCTTTTTCTCAGAGAAGCAAGGTAAACGTCCCAGAACAAGAATTTCTTAGGACAAGATAAGCGTCCCACAAACAAGTTATTCAATTAATTCCAAAAAACATGTTGTACACTTCGTCCTTGGCACAATGATATGGGTGAATCATGGACGTATTGGAGGACGCATTATGATTTCAGGGTGGTTAGTCCATACACAAACAGAATCATTTAATACCTCCATCACCTCATATGTATATCTCCTAGGTGACTACTGGAGTTGAACAATCACAACTTTCCAGAATATTAGAGTAATAGGAGGACAGTGAACAACTCTTATCAATTCTATGCTATGTGGGCGACATAATCGGCCGCAATTTCTCTCTCTTACAGTTGGCATGTATAATTGAGATTAATTCAGAGAAATCTGAGAGAAAAAGAGGTGCATAGTTTGGGTGGTCTGTAATTGATCTTACATAGTATAGGGGGGTTGATAAAAATAAAATAGTGATATTCAAAAGATGTGTAATCATTAAATGTAATGTCTTTGAAACCAAGTGAAGCTGAGGTTATGGTTGCTGTACCCCCAACTTTTTTACCTTTCCTGGTGGAGTACAAGACGTTGTAGCTTGGTGGTGAGGCTTCCAGAAGGATGGCAGGTCCATCAGTACTAAGCCATGTCTTAGTCAAAAACATGCAATCAAGATTTTTTTTCGAAAATCAGGTGAATAATAAGAAATGTCTTGTCTATAAGAGATCTCACATTCAAGAGTTCCATATTCAACGTACTCTCAAGGGGTAGGTTAGGAGCTGGTGGTTTATGTGTGTGTATGAAGATTATCAAAATTCATGGCATATATTTGTTTATTGTTATGGCGACTGTTCCTAACTCTGCTAGTAATAATAACTGGAATTTTTGAGTTCGTGGAAATATTGCGGGATGAAAGTAGGCAATCTTGTGGTGCAGTCTGAATAGCGTGCTGCATGTATGCTGATAGGATTCAAATACCCCCACACGGAAATAACCTATATAAACATATATGTTTTAATATAGGTTTTGATATAGGTTTTTAATATATGTGACATATATAAAATTGGCCGTTTTCCTATATTATATGTACATATTTTTTGCATTTTTTTTTTTTAGTTAGTTCTTAGTTATTGCCTTGATAATAGAAAATATGAGCTATAGGCATCATGTATGACAGTTGCCAAAGTGAGATATGAGCTAAAATGACCAGATCCTGCCATGAGCTATATAGGAGACATATCTTGTATGTACATATAGGGCTTATATGTGGATATAAAGAAGCAATACAGGAGACCTATATGGCCTGTATATGCACATACACTCACCTAAAGGATTATTAGGAACACCATACTAATACGGTGTTTGACCCCCTTTCGCCTTCAGAACTGCCTTAACTCTACGTGGCATTGATTCAACAAGGTGCTGAAAGCATTCTTTAGAAATGTTGGCCCATATTGATAGGATAGCATCTTGCAGTTGATGGAGATTTGTGGGATGCACATCCAGGGCACGAAGCTCCCGTTCCACCACATCCCAAAGATGCTCTATTGGATCAAACTGGAGCCCCACTATTTTTTCCATACACCAATCTTCTAATCACCAATAAGTACTGTTGGGGGTCCATAGGGTGTGAGCCAGGGATACATTCTGGGCAGGATGCTAATCCATCATAGCGCAGATACATGCACATGCTGGCTAATACTTGGATAGGAAACCAACTAGGAAAGCTGGGTTGCTCCAGGAAGAGGTGTTGTTCCGGCCAATAGGTTAGCCCATCTGGTGGTCTGTGTGGATCCCAATGCCCCAGTGCAGTAAAGGGGTTGCTGCTGTAAAAATGATCATCAGGTCATCCTTCAGATCAGATGTTGAGGTACTGACACTCTGAGGTCATAAAAGATACTTGGGCACCTTTCGAAAGTGTAGGGGTGGTTCCCCGATGTCCAAAATACCCAAATGTGGCCCTATCAAATCTGGCATCCTAATCATCCCCTATATCTAATTAGTGAATTCGCTCCTGCCCCTTCACTACCTTTGCTACTGTGTGTTGAGAGTACTGGTGCAGAATGGCTGCTGTCGCATCGTTCAGGTGGGGGGTTACACAGTTGTGATGGCTGAAGTGGCTCCCCATTGCTTCTGTTAAACACTTTGGGTATCTTGAAAAGCACTATATAAATACAACTTTAATTCATTCCTTCACCAATTAGCATAATGACCTGTCTGGAATGGAAAGCCGTTTGGCACAGGAATAACATGCAAACCTCAAACAAAAGATTCAAATGCTCAACCCTAGAACTCACCCTACCAGTTTTAATTAAATTAACTTGTGCAACCTCCTTCTAATGGATACTGCAAATATTTTGTCAAATTGTGTTTTCTTCCAATCACAGGTGCAATTTGAGCTTGGAGATGCCACCAAGAGAAGCTTCCCTGAAAGTTCATTTGATGCTATTTATAGCAGGGATACAATCCTTCATATTTCTGATAAGTTGGACCTTTTCAAGCATTTTTATGTAAGTATTTATGGGATATGTACTGAAAACACAAACGTGGTGAAACATTTGAGGTATATTGAACAGAAATATTTATGCATAAAATTTTGGTAGAAAAAAGAAAAAAGATGTCTATATTTTTTACTCCGTAGTCATTCATTTGTGAAGAAGATCTGCAGAACATCAACGTTCCATGGAATTTATTGTAGCATGGTCTAGGCTTACCATTACTGTGCCATGATATACCTAGAGACTTTTTTTAGAGGCAGGTACATGGGGGGGTGCGTTTTGACAGCTTTTATAGGAACACACTTTAAATATGTGGGGTAAAAAGGGACAAATGCTCAACCTAATGCTCAATAGTTTTACCTGTATTTGCTACTTGAACAAAACATGGATCAATGCCAAATTGCAGAAGGGAATTATTTCTCCTTAATGTATGTATTTGATGTCCAAACCACACTGGCATATAAATACATGGGGAAATGTGATTTGCTTCTGATCAAATATCTTAGAATTCTTGTATCTAAAGAAACTTTGAATTCAATTCAGTGGAGTAGCCTAATTGTAGTGTTAGTTAACGAGTTAATTATTCTGCCCAGTGGTAATGTTTAAATTAGTAAAAACTTAAAGGTGTAGCGGTTTCTTAGCGATCAGAATTCTCAGGGCAGATGTGCTCTTATTCTGAAGGCTTGTTTGACTTCCAGTCAGAGTTTTTTGGTATCTCGGCGGCAACCGGATCTATCTCTCTCTCTTCCTGTTGACTAATAAAATAAGAGGTTTAATCCCTTTCATGGGCTAAGCAACTGCCGCTTGTTTCTTTCTTCTTAGTAGTGGTGCACCAATGTGGAAATGTACATCTGTAAGTTTCCTGAATTCCACTGGTGGCATAGAAGCGAGGGCAATATTCCAGTGTGTACCTCTTTTCAGTTTATCCTGCGTCAGACCAAGGTGGCTCATTATTTTACCCCGGGCCAGCCTGTATTTCTCTATGAAATGTTCATTACTGAGATAGTCCAAGGGGTTCATGGGTAATTCACTTTCTCAATTCCAAGGATGTGACGGAACACATAGCAAGTTTGATTAGTTAACTCATTATACCAGAGAGTTCAGAATTTATTAATCGTGCCCCTTTCCACTCATGAATTGAAATTTGGATTGAAATGGCCACATCCTGTAAGATGTTGAATTGTAACGACGATAAGAAGAATTTAATTCATTTCAGTGCAAAGCAATTCAATGTAATCACACACACAAGAATGCCATTTAATCTAGCAAAACAAAAATAATTACATAATGATTTACTTTCAAGGTGGTAGATGTGTATATACAGTGGTGTGAAAAAGTGTTTGCCCCCTTCCTGGTTTTTTTTTTTTTTATGTTTGTCACACGTAAATGTTTCAGATCATCAATCAAATTTAAATATTAGACAAAGATGACAGAAGTAAACAAAAAATGCAGGTTTTAAACGAAGGTGCTCATTATTAAAGGGAAAAAATTCCAAACCTACATGGCCCTGTGTGAAAAAGTGATTACTGGTGTACAACCCTGTTATGCACTGACATTTCATGCAGGTGTTACAACAATGAGCCCCTTTTGCATTAGATTTTATACTGCAATATTGAAAATGACTGTTGTTGTGTCATCTACTTTGGCTGGTCTCTGTGTTTCTGTGACAGGACAGCTGGCAAAAGTTCAAATAAAGAATGAGATGGAAAATAACACTCATAAATACATTACCGTTCAAAAGTTTGGGGTCACCCAGACAATTTTGTATTTTCCTTGAAAAGTCACACTTTTATTTACCACATGAGTTGGAAAATGAATAGAAAATATAGTAAAGACATTGACAAGGTTAGAAATAATGATATTTATTTGAAATAATAATTGTTTCCTTCAAACTTTCCTTTCGTCAAAGAATCCTCCATTTGCAGCAATTACAGCATTGCAGACCTTTGGCATTCTAGCTGTTAATTTGTTGAGGTAATCTGGAGAAATTTCACCCCACACTTCTAGAAGCCCGTCCCACAAGTTGCTTTGGCTGGATGGGCACTTCTTGCGTACCATACGGTCAAGCTGCTCCCACAACAGCTCAATGGGGTTTAGATCTGGTGACTGCGCTGGCTACTCCATTACAGATAGAATACCAGCTGCCTGCTTCTTCTCTAAATAGTTCTTGCACAATTTGGAGGTGTGCTTTTGGTCATTGTCCTGTTGTAGGATGAAATTGGCTCCAATCAAGCGCTGTCCACAGGGTATGGCATGGCGTTGCAAAATGGAGTGATAGCCTTCTTTATTCAAAACCCCTTTTACCCTAAACACAGACCATCACGTTACCCCCACCGTGCTTGACAGATGGCGTCAGGCACTCTTCCAGCATCTTTTCAGTTGTTCTGCGTCTCACAAATTTTCTGCTGTGTGATCCAAACACCTCAAACTTCGATTCGTCCGTCCATAACACTTTTTTTCAATCTTCCTCTGTCCAATGTCTGTGTTCTTTTGCCCATATTAATCTTTTACGTTTATTGGCCAGTCTCAGATATGACTTTTTCTTTGCCACTCTGCCCTGAAGGCCAGCATCCCGGAGGCGCCTCTTCACTGTAGATGTTGACACTGGCGTTTTGCGGGTACTATTTAATGAAGCTGCCAGTTGAGGACCTGTGAGGCGTCTATTTCTCAAACTAGAGTCTCTAATGTACTTATCTTCTTGCTCAGTTGTGCAACGGGGCCTCCCACATCTCTTTCTACTCTGGTTAGAGCCTGTTTGTGCTGTTCTCTGAAAGGAGTAGTACACACCGTTGTAGGAAATCTTAAGTTTCTTGGCAATTTCTCGCATGGAATAGCCTTCATTTCTAAGAACAAGAATAGACTGTCGAGTTTCACATGACAGTTCTCTTTTTCTGGCCATTTTGAGTGTTTTATCGACCCCACAAATGTGATGCTCCAGATACTCAACCTGCTCAAAGGAAAGTCAGTTTTATAGCTTCTCTAAGCAGCTAAACTGTTTTCAGCTGTGCTAATGATTGCACAAGGGATTTCTAACCATCCATTAGCCTTCTGATGATTACAATGAGCAAATGAGCAAACACACTGTACTGTACCATTAGAACACTGGAGTGATAGTTGCTGGAAATGGGCCTCTATACACCTATGTAGATATTGCACCAAACACCACACATTTGCAGCTAGAATAG